AGGCCATTATCACTTAATTACATAAAGAGGAATCTGAGTTGGAGGTGCCAAAAATAGAGGAGTCGATGTTGATGGTTTTATGTTGTGGCCTCACAATCCTGCTATTGGTGATGGGCTGTTCAAGCAACATAATACAGCTCTTGGTCATATGCAACTGGTTCCCATATTCCATTAAACTCTCTTTGGGACCTTACTAAATTCCCTGCATCTTCACTAAATTCATGATGTCTCTGAAATGTGCCTAGATAAGTCAAAAATTATCTGCATTTTCGCTATAACAACTCTTTAGGTTTGTCACACTGCCTTATAGTTGGTACTATTGTGGTCACATGATCAAAGCTTGAGCTCTATCATGCCACTTTTGCCGCTGCTGCTACAGTTTAAACATGGCCTCTCCACTAAAAGTTTGCACCAAGGAGGGACAAAGAGCAGTGATTTGATCTACCTGATCGATGATAACTCACTGGTTTACCATTACCATCTTCTCGTCAGTGGTGGAGGTTGACAGGCGTCTTGCTCCTTCTTTGTGCATCGCACTTGTCTAACCGCTTTTAAAACTTCTTGATCCACTAATACATACTTCTATGCAGTAGTGTTGCCGTACGGTATTTGAAAGCCTCCGACAAATTTTAGCCCCTGACACCTTCCAACCAGAGAAATCAGATCACTGCTGTTTGTTCCTCTTCTGTGCACACTGCTGGAGGAGTGGCCATGTTTACACTGTAACAGCAGCAAGAAAACTGGTGCAATCAATCTTAATTTCAATCATGTGACTACAATTGTAGCAACTATAAGTGCACATGAGCAGAAGGTAGTGTGAAAAACCTAAATATGTGTAATGACAAAAGTGCAGATAATTTTTGACTTATCCTTGTAGATATAACATGCAATGATTCTTGCACCTTGTAGACTCTATGCCATGTTCCATAGTTGTTAATTGGGCAAAGGCGGGAGCTGCACATTACTTTCTGGTTAATTTTTTTAACATTTCCCTTTATTTCTCAAAGTAAGAATGTTGTAAAAAGTTAACTTTCTCTCACACTTTGTCACAGCTGTTGAGTAATCAAGTAAAAATTACAAACCAAAAAAAAAAAAAATTTCATTTGAAATCTATTGTGAATTTGAGGGAAACATTCCTGTCAGCTGTCATCAATCAACAGTCACATTTTTTCTTCTTGTCTTGAAAATGGATGCCTTGCTGTGGAGCTGTGTGAACCAGCTAATCCTGTCGACCATTGATAGTATACTGATTTCAATCCCCACTGGAATTAGAATTACATAATCAGAGATCTTCACTCGTTTCACACTAAAATGGATTTTGTAAAGGATTTTGGTAGGAAGTCTGTTAAAAATAGTACTAGTAGGTTGATTTTGTGTTGCTTGCAAAAGAAATTCTGTTTTTAATATGAAACTATTTTATTTCTATTTTTCTAAATTACAAGCCCCTATTTAAATGTATGTAGCATCTTTATAAAGACTATGTATGATTAATAAGGCTATTTTAATTGAGTTTCTCAAAGTTTCAGAATAATTGGTATGACCAATGATACTGATAGATTTTTAATGTAGTGAATCCCTGGGACCCACAGGTTGTGATTTGGGTGTGTTTCTGGGAAATTCCCAACTACAGTTTCTTAATAAATTTTGATGTTAAACTGTACAGCTACAGGCTAATTTTCTTTTCTTTTTTACCATTGACCCAAAAAACAATTTTAATTGTGCCAAATAACTTAAATTGACAGAACAATTTGATTTTTTTTGTTTTGTTTTTTTAATTAATAAATTTAAAGCAAAAACAGTATTTACACTTAATTACAGTTCAATTAACTATTTTTTTTTGCTAATTATGACAGAACAAGGTATTTTTTTTAGTTGAATCAATTTAAAATAAAAGCAGTATTTCAAGCAATTTTAGTGAGTTCAGGTGTATCAAATAAATTTAAAAAAAACAACAAACCAAGAAAGTTTCTGGTAAGGCTACATTAATGTCTATTTCATGCCCCCACCCACACATCCCACTGCCCAATGAAAGAAGGAAAGAGTAAGTGAAAGAAAAGAAGAACTAGTAAAAAGTATTTGACAGAGCATGTTCAATATATTGCTTTTCAATGGGAAAGTTAGTGTGTTCTTTAAGGTTATTGTGTGCCAGGGATGCAGATTACACAGTGTTTCATATGACTCAATATGTGGAGGTTATTTCAGTTTGGCAAAATATATCTTTAAAAAAATACCACTTCATCATGTTTTGTCGAATATTTAAAAAATTTAAATTAAATATAAAATATACTAATATTCCGTCTTTAGGTGTCATGTGTGAAGCATACTTGGGTGATCATGACTTTTCATTTCATGGTTGATTTGGCAGGGAATAGCTGCAGTTGGTAGCCATAACTTTCTGCAGTAATACAATATAGTTAACCTTCCACATAGCAGGATATGACAACACAACTATGAAATTTAAACACAGTTCAGGGATCAAAGTCACCTGCAGTGGCAGGATAAACTTTTGTACAGCAAATGAAGTCACATACGAGCGATAAAGGTTAAAAACCATAATGATAAAAACAAAGGTGATAAAAAATTGAATGAAATCAGTGAAATTAAACATCTAGAGAGACACAAGATGTGAAAATTTACTTTATTTTATTTTTTTTTAATCATTTCATCCTGAGCAAGGCAATATAGCCACTAAGACACAAGGGTCTGTCTATATTTCTGAGATGAGGCATTATGTACATTATTTACATTATTCAGACTATTGTCCTCATCTTTGTCGCCATATTTATCACAACGTTTCGGCCGTTGTATGCTCCGACCTTCAGGTGGTTGGAATGTCGAACTGAACCCTTTATTTCACTCACTGGGGTAGACTGTTCTAGTTCCACGTGCCATGTTTGATGGATGTCAGCTATCAGTTATCTCCTGTTAATATGAAGAGAGAAGGGAGATCACCGCCCTCTGTGGGGTCATGTTGAGATCATAGACAGGGAACACCATTGGAAAATTTGTAAACTTCAAGAATCAGCACATATGCTAGGCCACAAAAATCTCCTGAGCTGACCAAGCATAGAAATAAATACGATATGGGAACCAGTAATAAGGAGTGTCGGAGAAAAGCAATGATAACAACAAAGTTGCAATATGAGGTCTGGTAAAAACATGAAATGATAACAGCAAAATTGCAATATGAGAACTGGTAAAAATGGTTGCTGAAGACATTAGGTTTATAATACCCAGAAATTCATATCCAGATGTCCTCAAGGCACAGTGGATAAAGGCGTTGGTTAAATCCAGTGACAAGACCCAAAGAGTGTGAGTTCAATACCCGGTTAAGGCAGTGGAAAACTTTCAGAGGGAAAATTAACAGGAGATAACTGATAGCTGACATCCATCAAACATAGCATGTGGAACTAGAACAATCTACCCCAGTGAGCGAAATAAAGGGTTCAGTTCGACATTCCAACCACTTGAAGAAGGCCGGAGCGTACAACGGCCGAAACGTTGTGATAAATATGGCGACAAAGATGAGGACAATAGTCCGAATAATGTAAATAAGACACAAGGGATTATTTGATTCAATATAATCTTTCTACTTTATTCAAATGTCAAATTTTTATGTCTTTTAATTTTTTTTTTATGTAAAATTGTAACTGGTATTTATTGTATTTATCTCCCCTTACTGTCCCCACACTTGACCAATTATGAGTTGCCCAGGCTATTTAACCTATAGTTGGGGCGGATGACTGTTGACTGAGGAGTTCCTCTGTTAAAAAGTGGAGGAACTCCTCAGAGTCAACGGTCATCCTTGCCAACCCACAACTGGCTAGACATGGTGAGTATGGCTAGTCCTCTGAAGACATGGTCACTCAGGGTGGTAGGGTTCCACTCAACAGGAGTGAGATGGTTTTGGATTTGGGCCTTCCTCCGCTATATAAGACTGACTCAATCAATAAAATTGGTTCAATGTGTCATGCTAGACAATTTTTCTCACCATAATCTACAAATAGGAGTTGACATGCCGTTAAATCCAACAACCAACCCACCATAATCTATCTTGCACACCATTCATCCATGCATTAAATACTGCTGCCACATCTGGTCTGGTGCTTCTGCTATGTATCTTGAGAGTCTTGATAAAATCCAAAGAAGAATCTGCAATATTATTGATCCTAATCTGGCATCTCAGCTTCAGTCATTTTCCCACTGTTCTAACAAAACTTCTCTGTGTTTTTTATAAATACTTTCATGGTAATTGTTTTCGATGAACTTTTCTCTATGGTACCTATATTGTGAATTTAAGCACAGTACTAGATTGGCAGCAAGGTCTCATCAATTTACAGTCAAAATGACTAGATATAACCGTAAGTTCTTTGCTAACAGTTTCTTCTATCACACTTCTTGCTTGTGGAACTCTCTTCTGGCTTCTTGCTTTCCAACTAAATTTCATCTTCAAAAATTTAAATGCAATGTCAGTCATTATCTTCTGTCTTCTTAATTCCTTTTGTTGTTTTCTCTGTTTAATAACTTTTTATTTTTTTTTTTTTTGTTTCTTATATTTTCTCCTACTCTGTAACCCTTTGTGTCTTTGTGGTTTTAATGTTTTGCTTGGGGTGAAATGGTTAAAAAAAACAATTTGTTTACCCGGTATTTGTCCGATATATAATCTTCCATATTAGAGAATATGTTATGTAGACATGTGTATGTGGTCACATCTGATAGTATTTCCAACTACATTGATTATTGTTTTGCTTTAAATTGTTTTTTATGGCGAAGTACCACCCAAAAAAAGTGCCTCCTTGTGTTATCCTGTTTGAATATTATCCTGATTCTATGACTGAATTCTCAGCACTTTTCCTCAAAGTCTTCTCACTTGATGTTACATACATTTAATGGTATTTAATGGTATTCTTTCATGAGATGAGTATGTTTGAAACTCTGAGCCACTCTTTGAGAAAGATTAAACACAAAAAGTGATTCCATGCTTCTTTTTTGGTTTTCAGATGGCCAAAACCCAAAGAAACAAAGCCACAATGGGTCACTTGGGTTTGTTGAAAGCTCGGCTAGCAAAATTAAGACGTGAACTCATTGAACCCAAAGGTGGTGGTGGAGGGGGTGGTGAAGGTTTTGATGTTGCCAAAACTGGAGATGCAAGGATTGGTTTTGTAGGTAAGTGTGAGGACTGTGCTTTCTTTCAACTTTAAAAAAAAAAAAATCAACCCATTAATGCCTACCATGAAATTGTGTATTAGAGGCTTCTGAAAAAGAAAATCTGGTATTATAGGCTTCTAGTAGGGGGGATCTGGTATTATAGGCTTCTGGAAATCTGGTATTATTGGCTCCAGTGTGTGGAAAATGTTGGCTTGGGGAAATATAAAATCTGGTATTATTGGCTTCTGAAAAAGATTTTTAAAAATTTGGTATTACAAGTTTTTAAACAATGGATTTTTAGTTGATTTGTATTTCTTACTATATAAACATTGACAGTTTCAATGTTAAAATGCCCAAAATACTGGGATTTCTACTTAAAAATTTGTACTCACAAAATATAATGTTTATATTAATAAGAAATATAGGGTTATAAAAAAAAATGTCCCATCTTAATTATAGGTTTCTACTTACAACTCATTAATCTCACACCCCACCTGCCATCAATCAGAATGGTGGGCATTAAACAGGTTAAAATTTCAAATGAAACAACTGTTGGCCATATTATCTTTACTTTTTATTAAATGAAAGCATTGTCAATCATTGAAAAAAAAAATATGGTGCTGAGAAAGACCATGGGCTGAAATGGTAGATTTATAGCTTAAGTTTTTCATCTTCTACAAAACTGTCAAGATCTTGTAGCTTAGTGGTTAAAGCAGTTGGTATGTTCATGGCTTCCTTGTGACCGCAAAAGTCATGTTGGTTTAATCTCATTGAGAGCTTATTCTTTAATTCTGATCCTGCAACGTGGACACGTTGCTGTAGGCTTGACGACCTGAATAGAATCTTACTTATTATAAAACCCGGGTTGTATGTGTGTCTTCGTTTATATATTGGATCGGATTGCTTACATTTTTCAACCGATTTCAACAAAACTTCACAGAACTACGTAAAATTACCTTGTGGTGGTTCTGGCAGTGCCAAAAATTGGAAAAACATTGTATTTGCATGAAATCAATTTGAAAACACGATTAAGAGAGTCGCCAGAATGAAAGGGGGGACAACTCATATCGAGTTATACTTATTATAAAACCCAGGTTGTGTGTGTGTGTTCGTTTATATATGGGATTGGATTTCCTACATTTTTCAACCAATTCCAACAAAACTTCACTTCTTTTTTGGCAGGTAGTGTTTCTTATTGTCTTGCACACTTTTTTCTTTATTTTTACATTCAGAATGCTTTAAAAATTCCATTTACAAGACAATTGTTTATAATAAAATTCTATTCAATCGGTAGACTCATAACAATTGAAAACAATGTTTTTGAGTTTGGGTCTGACCATTTTGTAAAAAAATACAAAAAAAAACTAATTAAGACATGTGTGTCCGTCACCCTTAAACAATAATCTTTGTCAATTTTATTTTCCAGTCTTTATGATGGTCGATACTTGATCGATTTCTTACTGTTACATCCCCAGGCAACACTGGGCTCTACTGCTAGTTGGTAATAAAAAGCAACTGAAAATGAAGCATTAGTCAAAGATGTAATTATAACTGGAAGCAACTACATGTTATAAAAGAATGAAAACAAAAACCTAAAACTCATTTCATTCCTTGTTGCTCTTTCGGAATATTATTCAAATGCAAGATTAATAGTTGGACCCTGTCAAGGTTGCCTATAAGAATGAAGATATCTGGTAATGAGACTGCAGGGAAGAAAGGATTCAGGCCTTCCATGAGGGCTTTAATATAAAGTATAAACAGACTTGGACATTGAATTTAGTTTGAATTTCGTATTAACATGTACCCCCATTTTCAGATTTAAATGACAATTTTGCTTTCCTTTTGTATGTCCATTACACCCGGTCATTACTCCAGATAAATAATGGACCATTCTGTTTTAATTGTGAGAAGCTCCTCCAATAACGTAATTATTTTATATTCAACATGAAACAAAAGGCTTGTAAAATGTTTCAAAATAGGAGAGAAGACCATTCTGACAAAGTCGAATGAATCAAAATATATTATTTGATCCACCAGCTTTATTACAACTACAAGTGAAAGGAATTTATCTAAGCTAAACATAACAACAATAAAAGTTTTAATTAATATGAAAAAATAATAATAATAAGCTAAAACTTGAAGGAGTAATTTACTCTATTACCTGTAATGATTGCCAAAAGGAATACATCAGAGAAACTTCAAGGAACTTAAATAAAAGATTATATGAGCACTATTGCATTACGGGAGAATAAACTAGTTGATTGTGTTGGTTCATGAATTTGGTGATATAGTAATTGTGAGTTCAATCCCTGGCCCATTTAGGGTCCTGTCTTGGGTATGACAATAAACTACATCCGTGTCCAGGGTAAGATGATAAACTACATCCGACAACACCACCTGATTAGGAGGTTTTGAGGAGTGTGGAAGCACCTCTTAATTGCTGGTGTTCTCAGGTCCACCCTGACTCAGGATGTTAACACTTGTTAGTGTCCCAGCTATGGGCAAATAGTTAACCCCTAAATGGGCTCAAAACACTATGAAAGTGTAAAAATAGGTTTTAATACCAGCAATACATTTTTGGAAGAAAAACAATATTATCAGCAATAAAAAACTTGTCAGCATTAAATAACCCACTCAGGTTGATATGCTGTAAAATAAACCAAACCAAACCAGACACTTGACAAAAACACTCTTTACAAAAATACATTAATGAAACCTGATCTACAAACTGATTTCTTACAAAGAATACACATTCTAATCATGCAAACCTATCCTAAAAATATTGTCTGCAATAAATAACCCGTTGAGGTTGATATGCCGTAAAATAAACCAAATCAAACCAAACTAGACTCTAGACAAAAACACTCTTTACAAAAATATGTTAATGAAACCTGATCTACAAACTGATTTCTTACAAAGAATACACATTTTAAAAATACTGTCAGCATTAAATAACCCATTGAGATTGAAATGCTGTAAACCAAACCAAACCAGTTAGTGTGTACTTGAACTCAGTAGAAACAAAGTAAGCAATAGCTTATCAATACTAATAAGAACTACTGTATATATTGAAACTTAGTGCCAGTTTTTTTTTTTTTTTTTTTTATGCAAAAAATAGAGTTGCTCTTGCTTGAAAGTTTTTAAGTGGTTAAAGACTCCACATTTTCAGTGACTAGCTGATTAATAAATATTAATTATTTAATATATAGATTTAATGAATATTTGATCTAATGTTTAACACTTTATAAGATTTTATTTTAAGCATTTGGCATAATTTAGGTTTATGCTGATGGGAAGATGTGTCACTGGTTAAAAACAGAACACAAACTTATAAAATGGTACTGAAAAGTATATGATAAGGAAATTGTGTTTTGATGGGCACTTTTTCATGTGGTTTTCTTCCTGCTGGGCAGATTTTTGGCATTTAGCACCTTCCATAGATTTAAGTATTAAAAAAAACAGGAAACTTTAATGCCTGGAAAATAGATTTCATTAAATTTCAAAGTTAAAAACAACACAGGAATTGAAAAACCCCGGTCTAAGTTAAAAAACAAAAACAAAACAATATTGGCTAACAAACTACTCAGAAAAAAATGACAAGATTATTTATGTACAAATTGTGCATATCTGATGATTACTGTAATTTCTCAAAAAAAATATGCACCCCAACAAATGATCCAAAAATTAAATATATCTATCCCTATCTATAATATGCATCTATATATTTTGTCAAAAAAAATAATTATGAAGGTATTTTGTCAACTTTGACATTAAGAATATAATCAAAAGTAAGCGACTAAAATAATGTTGAAAATTACCATGTGGTTTTCCTGATAAATATAACATTTTATTTTACCACCAAAATGTCGTCAAAATGTGCGAGTCATAGTGCAAATTTTAAACAAAAGGTAATAGAATTAGCAGAAAGAATAGGAAACGGAGCTGAAGCTAGAGAAGATGAGTTGAATGAGGCCAACATACGTTTATGAAAAAAAGAATAAAAATGAACTAAAAAAAAAAAGTGTAAATCAAATTTTCGAAATTGGCCTTTTCATAGATTTTTATTATTTTTTTGACAAATAAAATATGTGGTTACTGATAAACATAAATTTATTGACAAAACAATTTTTCAATTATTATTGTTGGGTTTTAAAAAATGAAAATTGGGACAATATCTTTCTTACAACAACATATATATTTAATATTATAAGTCAATAACGAAAAAATATTTTTTAAACCTACTTAAAATACACATCCCTACTATCACAAGTAATTTACAGTAAAAAAAATGTGTATTATTTTCGAGAAATTAGGGTACTATGTCACTCTGTTATTTTAAAATGCTGTAAGAAGAAAAATAGTTACATGACAGAAAAATAAGAGTGAAAGTTGAATGAAGATGCACCCAGCACCTTAAAAAATTATAAAAATGTAGAGTTTTATCAACTAAATTAAAATGTCAGCCAGATATGTAACTAAAAATTGGGAACACTACATTATCCAGCGATCTTAATCTCTCAAGTTCTTCGTACCAACTCTTTCTTTGATTTTCTGTAAGTGCAAAAATGGGAAAAAAGTATTCAAGAAATAGAAATACCAGTGAAAATTTCAGCGTTTTCCTATTTGAATTTTCTGATAAATTCTTAACTCTTAAGTTAATGATTGAATAAGCTGATGATGACTTCTATGATAATAAAATATTCATAGAAATTCCCCTATTGCATCATTAAATATTTGAGCTTAACAACTTTAACAAAATATTGAATAACAATCATAAATATGAAGGCTGGTCATTACTTTACAAAGTAAGGGGATGCAAGTGAAAAGATTTGAAACTGACAACATTTTCTATTTCACTGAAACATGTTAAACACTTCTATCTCCCTCCTTTCTTTCTTTCATTTTCTCACTGAAACCAGTTAGCATTTCTGATATGTCTTTTCATGCAATCAAAACAGAATAGTCCATTATTTATGAGGTGTTGGCAGGATATCACAGTCGTGATAACTAAGGGAGGGACAGGTAGAATTCTAATAAGATATTAATACTATCATTCAAAATTTTAAAAAATCGAAACTTAGTTACCTCCCTTGCATCATATCTATGAACCGATTTTCTTTCATCAACGACAATGGCTTTGACAAGAAATTACTCTGCTTTCTTTCTCTTTACTCCTTGCATCTGGGAATTTAACCTGCAAACATGGACACCATATGCTTATTGTGTTTCTTTTATTCTTTGACTAAATTTTAAGTACAGTTCAAAAATATTCAAGATAATATTTTGTAAAGTTTTACTCTCTCTCTCTTCAGCTGAAAATGCTGTCCTTATACAAGAAAATGAATGGCTTCCTTAGAAAGCAAAAATACTAAATTAAAAACCAAAAAACTGAATTGAAAACCACAGTATCAAGGGGGAAAAAAACGGAAACTGATACCGAAACATAAATTGGCAAACTGACAAACTCGTTTTTCGGTTAAAAAAGTGATAAATATTGGGTTTTGTTATCTGTGCGCTAATATCCCTTAAAATGTTTCCAAAATAGTCATAATTCCATGTAAATGTACATGCTGAACTCGAATTAACAATTAAATTATGAAGAAATCTTACTGTTTTGGAGTTATCGACAAGAAAAAATCGGACTTCTTGTTGGTCATTCGTCCCCCATTACTGCCATCATGAATCTCAATTCAATGTGAGATACCTACGCCGGCGTAATAAGAAAATTTGACCTATTTACTTCTTTTACAGACTTTCCTTGCAGAAAATCACTACGCACGGGTAACAAAACCAATATTTAGCAAAAACACTTAGTCATTAATACAAATATTCTTTCTGCTTATTGAAAACAAGGGGGAACTTAAAAATGATAAACAGAAAATTTAGTTACAACATGAAACAGGCAATTCTAAATGAAAGTTTAAATAAAAATAAACAGGCAATTCTAAATGAAAGTTTAAATAAAAATAAACAGGCAATTCTAAATGAAAGTTTAAATAAAAATAAACAGGCAATTCTAAATGAAAGTTTAAATAAAAATAAACAGGCAATTCTAAATGAAAGTTTAAATAAAATAAACAGGCAATTCTAAATGAAAGTTTAAATAAAAATAAACAGGCAATTCTAAATGAAAGTTTAAATAAAATAAACAGGCAATTCTAAATGAAAGTTTAAATAAAAATAAACAGGCAATTCTAAATGAAAGTTTAAATAAAAATAAACAGGCAATTCTAAATGAAAGTTTAAATAAAATAAACAGGCAATTCTAAATGAAAGTTTAAATAAAAATAAACAGGCAATTCTAAATGAAAGTTTAAATAAAAATAAACAGGCAATTCTAAATGAAAGTTTAAATAAAAATAAACAGGCAATTCTAAATGAAAGTTTAAATAAAAATAAACTTGTAATTTATTTATTTATTTTTTTTTTTTTTTTAATTTCAATAAATTTAATTTGCTTTTTGTGTAAATGAAAACTTCAGCCTTTGTTTTACCTTGCAATAAAACAGAATGGTTCATTATTTATCTGAGGTCATGACGGTGTAACAGACATGCAGTGAACAGCTTGGCTTTATCTTTATTGTACAGCATATACTTTATTCTGGGGTAATTGATGTCCAATCTAATTTGCTTGTTAATATTTTTGACTCCATTTAGAAGCACCTGTACTTACCCTATTGTATCCAAGTGCAATGCTATGCCATCTGCATGGTCTGTATTATATATGGACACTAGCTAGTTGTCATTGCAGCAAGATGCAGTCTAAGTTCACATCTTTTTATAATTTTCAGAGCAGAATTTGAATAATTAAGCAATTATAAAAACATGAGACAGCTACTTGCAAATAATCAAAATACTAGCAAAATCAAATAGTAAAAACAGGCATATGATACTTGTAGCAATACTCATAGAACAAAAACTACTATCAATAAATAACAATTCTAACATAGTGCCTGCATCCTCAAATGTATATAAAAAATGTCTCAACTCTCTTTGCCTACATCACAGCACACACTAGTTCTATGAAACTCACCAATTGTCTCTTCCTACCGTGATAATGACTTAAGAAAATAAAAAATATTGGACCATATTTCTTGTACTTTTCTTCTGAAGTGAATTTCGGACAATTTTTGACTGAATTTCCTCCTTGTCTGAGAAGGATTATTCGTAATTTGGAAAAGTTGATCATTAAAATTAATTGACACAAAATGTCTTGTTTTTTATAGTATTTACCTTCAAGAACATTTGCTGCCTAAAAACAATACATACACACTCACAAATACATATATGGATTTCAAGTGGAAACCTAGACATTTTGTGCCTTATACATTAGGTTAATACTTAGAATGTTTGTACTCTCGTCATGTGACGACAATTAAAATTGACATATTCATGAAAGATATGAGAAAAAGATCTTTGTGGATCATGAGATTCATTTGCCAACTGTTTTTATGTAATTAACTGCTAATATTTGTATGCTTGCTTTATATTTGCAACATTTTAAGTTTTCATTTTTAACGTGATGCCTTCTCAACTAAGGGAGGTAACTATTTTGTCTACCTATATGTGCAGTATTTATTTAGTATTTGGAGGTTTCATTATTATTAAACAATATGATTGTTTCAGGTTTCCCCTCTGTGGGTAAATCAACTCTCCTAAGTAATTTAGCTGGTGTCTATTCTGAAGTGGCAGCCTATGAATTCACCACATTGACTACCGTACCTGGAGTGATCAGGTACAAGGGAGCTAAGATTCAGGTGAGTTAATTATATCATTGTAGATGTGTAGGATTATGACTTTTTTTTTTTTTTTATAGAGAATCTTTTAAATATAGATACAGGCTGCGATGGATAACTTGTTGCCATTTTATATTTTTAATTTTGTGTATTGTTGTTGATTTTGTCAACTGAATTTCAAGTGGAAACATAGACATTTTAATAATAGTAGAGTCAGTTGTGCACTGCCTGTGTGAAAAAGATCGCCATGATGCAATTCACTCCAGAAATTTTGAAACAATATGATGTACTGCTTGGTATTTGTGCTGGAAGCTCCAATACAAACATTTCAACCTGAGGACAGCGCAGAGGATTTAGAAAGAATTTGATTAGTCTAATGTTGATTATAAAGGTATGGCAGATTGGAAAACTGGTTCTGATGAGAAAAGAACAAATTTGTTGATGAAGACCTCAGTCTCCATACAGAGGCCTACATCAAGTGTTTGTTTCCTGTTGAGGATTAGGTTTCCACTTTCTTCTAAAGTCTATTTTGATCATACTTCTAACGTCTGTGCCTGAACTCTGAAATTTTATTTAATTTTTTTTTTCTCTTCAGTATGAATAGATAATTTTCACTATTGTCCAGTTCACACTCCTACCCGGTCTTTTGAACAGGAGTAGGGGTTTATCCCTTGTTTTGTGTTTAGGATTGATGGATTCCGGTTCCTTCAAAGTCTACTTCACATCTATACTTATGAAATTTTATTTACTACTTTTTTTTCTTCAATAGAAGTAGATAGGTTCACCTATCATCCTGTTCACACTCCTCCCCTGTTTTTTTGAATAGAGGTAGAGGTTTATCCCTTGTTTAACTTGTTTAGGATTGGGTTCCTGGTTCCTTCTAAAGTCTTATTCTCTTTCACTCCCATAGTAACCCCCTTTGCGTCTTAATGGCATTATTGCCTTGCTTGGGATGCATTGATTAAAAAAAAAATGGTGTAACTTATGAAAGCCAGTTGTGGTTTCTTGGGGAGAGTGTGTTTGCTTGCTCAAATTGTGACTAAATTTGTAAGCTACCAAAGGAGATAATTGGCACATTTTTATCAGTTGTAATTGTTAGATCAAGAATGTGATAAGCAGCAGGAATATACCCTTTGTGATGTATATTGATTTCTGCTTAACAGCCATTAATTGATAGTGATAATTTTGGCTACAGGTTAATTGGTGCAAGTTTTTCTTTTTTTTCAATCAGTTATTAGAGATGTTGGTTTCTAATACAAATTATTTTGTATTCAGCTTCTGAAACAAATTGGTTATTAGAGTTTGCATTGTTATTTTTAGTGGATATCTTTATGAAGTCTGAAGTGTTCTACTTTTGTTTTTCAGTTTTCAAAATATATTAGAGGTACAGTATTTACATTAGTCGGACTATTGTCCTCATCTTTGTCGCCATATTTGTCACAACGTTTCGGCCGTTGTACGCTCCGGCCTTCTTCAGGTGGTTGGATCTAACCAACGCCTTTAGATCCAGTGACAGACCCAAAGAAGGTGAGTTCAATTCCTGGTTAAGGCAGTGGAGAACTTTCAGAGGGAAAATTAGCAGGAGATAACTGATAACTGACGTCCATCAAACATGGCACGTGGAATTAGAACAGTCTACCCCAGCGACCGAAATAAAGGGTTCAGTTCGAAATTCCAACCACCTGAAGAAGGCCGGAGCGTACAACGGCCGAAACGTTGTGACAAATATGGCGACAAAGATGAGGACAATAGCCCGACTAATGTAAATACTGTACATAATACCTCATCTCAGAAATATAGACAAACTATATTAGAGGTTTTATGAAGATTTTATATTTTGGTATAAAGTTTGATTTCCTTTAAGAAGTTAAGGATATTATTTGGTTTAGCATTTTGAAAGAGTTCTTTTGTATTGTTTGCTTTATAATATTTTGTTTGCATTTGGCTGACATGATGGCATTGAGTATATGTTCAACTATGAAAGGTACTTGACATCTGTGACATGATGGGGTTGTTTTTTTTTTTTTTTTTTTTTTTTTTTAGTAGATGTGGATTGGTGGGTCAGATGTGTCTGTCCTATTTTGGAGTCTGGATAAAAATATTCTCTTGTTTTAATTTTCTGAAACCTGGGAACCATTTTCCTATATTTGGTTGAATATTGTATGGTGTGTTAGATTTTGAGTCTGATATTGTTTGCCATTTTCTTTTGATATGTTTTATTTATTTTCTTTTTAAGTTTTTATGGGGTACTTTTATATTAGTAGTTGTCATGATGAAGGCATCTTTAGTTAATTTATCTGCTATTTCATTGTCCAGTATACCAACAAGGTTTGAAATCCAGGAGAGTTAACTATTTCAGTAGAGGTTTTGAGAATGTCTAAAACAGGGGCATCCAGCCTGTGGGCCGCACTGCAGCCTAAAATCTTTTAAGTGTATTTTCATTTACTTAGTAAGTATGTCGAGGAAATTGATCTCCGATTGTGCTAGTAGGTTCATTTCACTAAAAAGAGAAGCAAGTAAAGGCCTTTTGCCAAGACACACCAGCTGGTGCGTGTGGCTATGGCCAGAGCTAAATAAAAATTAGTTATTTCAAAAGCTGTTATGCATGTGGGGTAGTACATACTACTGTGAACAATTCTTTTTGTGCATGAAAAACATCAAAACAGCTAAAAGAAACAGATGAAGTGATTGAATGTTAGTTAAATAACTAACATTCTTAGAATAAAAACTACTACCATAAAAGCAGATATTGACACTACAGTGGAATTTCAGTTTCATGGACTAATAGTGGGGGTTGTCTGTTAAAGCCATTTGTCCGTTAATTTGAAGCACTATTTTGTTGTTTAAAAACACCGAGTAGAGTACAAAATTATTGTAAATAAATGTAAATACACTATATATGTATGTTTATTTTAAGTTACTATGTATCTTTAAATAAAGTTAGAAAAGTTTTAAAGTTAAATCCGGAGTTCACTGGTTCTGGTACTGTTAATTTGAGGTTTTACTCTATCATGAAAGGAAAGCAATGTCAAAAATAACATTAAATTTATTTTATTTTGTGTATGTATAATTTTTTTTTTTTTTGTAATTATATATATATATGTCATTAAATATTTATATTCAGTGTTTTGAACTTTTTAGAAGCATATTTATATGAAGTACTTTTGTGGCCTAATGAATATACCTCGATTTCCAATTTGGCCCCGTCCTAGGTATGACGTTAAACTGCATCCAACAACAAGGCCTCTCATCAGGAGGTTTTGAGGAGCGTGGAACCACCTCTTAATTGCTGGTGTTCCCAGGTCCACCCTGACCCAGGGTGGTAGCACCTGTTAGGGTCCCAACTATGGGCAAAAAGTGAACTCCCAGTTTTTTTCCAGACCTTACCCATGTCCTGGGTATGGCGATAAACTACATCCGCATCCTGGGTATTAAAAAATAATGTTGCCAGCTATACGTTTTTGAAAAAATAACGTTGCCAGCTATATATATAAACTAGAGTTTTGCATTAAATGACCTACAGTGGTCGATATGCCATAAAACCCAACCAGCCAATTTGGCCCATTAGGAAAAAGGTTGGACAACCCTGGCCGAAGATGTTGGGATTCTCTTTCTTTTAGAGCTACAAGACTTGACAGAGAGTCTATGATGAATATGATGGAATTTCTGGTTGCTTGAATTCTTAATGAGTTCAAATGCCATCTTAATGGCCTGTAGCTCAGCTCTAAATATGGAAGCTTGATTTGGTAGACTCATTTGTTTGTGAGACTCTGCTCTCACTTTATTTGAGATTTTAGATGTATATTGAGATTATTTTGTAAGACATAAAATCAACCAATTTATGTTTTAGTAAGTGAATTTTTGTCACTATTTTCAGCTTCTTGATTTGCCTGGTATTATTGAAGGAGCCAAGGATGGAAAAGGTCGTGGTAAACAAGTCATTGCTGGTAAGTCAGTTGTCATTTAAGTTAATTATTCCGTTGTCATAATTAGTGTTCACATATAATTACCTTGGCATTAAACAAATCAAAGGTGAAATTCCAAAAAATAACTTTCACATAGAAATTAATAAAGATGGTCAGTATTAAAATATGGAACAGTAAGCAATGAAAAAAAAAAGTTTATAATTATGGAACAGTAAGCAATGAAAAAAAAAAGTTTATAATTATGGAACAGTAAGCAATGAAAAAAAAAAGTTTATAATTATGGAACAGTAAGCAATGAAAAAAAAAAGTTTATAATTATGGAACAGTAAACAATGAAAAAAAAATGTATAAATAAATATTCACTTTAATTATTTAATCATTATGTAACATAATAAACTTACAAACACAGTACATTAATTGAAAACAATCTCTAAAAAAAAAAATCTCTCTTAAAGGCTGCTTTTGGCAACCTCGGCTAAATGTCAAATTGATTTTTTATTTCTGTGTGTCTGATGTTTCAGTTAAGAGTATAAAATAAAAAAAAATAAAAATTATCCTTGATAATGACTAAAATTATAACTGAAAGCACTCTAACATACAAAATATTTGAACAATATCTGCATATTTTATGTCCAGCAAAGAAGAGAATTATAAGAACTCAAGAATATTTGAATTAAGTACTTAACTACATACCTTGTCAGTCATTTTTAATATTATTTGCATAAAAGAGTAATTGCTTCCCCAAAACACACACACACACACAATATATATATATATATATATATAATATATATATGAGGAGGCACGTTGGAGTAATGGATAGCGGCTTGGATTGAGGAATCGGAGAGCCAAGTTTGAATTCCACTCGAATCCATTATATTCACTTGCGTGCTAATACCCTTGGGAAACGTGTGAATCCTCCTCTTCTCCCTCCAGCTATGGGTAAATAGCAGGGCAGACTGGGGTCTATAGCCTTGGAAGGAAACTGGTCTAGGAGAAGGGCAACTCTGGATTCAAAACCTGCAGAGGATCGTTTGGGGACCTTGTGGCACTTAGTGCACCAGGTCTCTGAATTCGGCCCTTCAAAAAGTGTGGCTGGTCTTGCATGAAACCTTCACCACTATAATCAAATCTCATGTGCTGCTGTCAGTTTCCTATGAACTGATCTGCTTGACCCTCATACATCGAATTCGACGGGAGAGTCGACTATATATACACACACACACACACACACACACACACACACACACACACACACACACACGAGTTCTTATTAATCCAACAAATTCTTTATCACTTTACTTTTAGTGAATACTCGTATTTGAGTAGGTGCTCCATTTATTAAACAATATAATTATTTATTTTTAAAGGCAAACTTTCATTCAGTTTTTCTTTAATAAGATTTTTCAAATATTCAGGCTGACTGGTGCAAATAAATAAATAAATATAATGTTTATTAAACAGTGTCTACTCAAATTCGAGCCCCCACTAAAAATAACATTTTAAAGTAATAAAAATCTATCGGATTAATAAAAATCTATTCTAAAATTCTCTTTGTTTATGTTTGGATACAACATTATGTGCGGATATAAAAAAAATCTTTGAGATCTATGACAGGAGAAATTTCGTGTGAAAACATGAAATTGGTTTTGCCTGACCGACAGTTCTCTGTAACCAAGCTTCCCTCTACCCTGGGGAATGCAGGTTTCATTCTTGCTGGAGATCACAATTTTTTTACTTTGATAATATTTCTCAAACATTCAAACTGGTAGATGAAAATAAATCTACTGTTTATTAAATAAACCGAGCCTCTACTCAAATATGAGTATCCACTAAAAATAACATTTAATTTATGAAAAAAAATATATATATTTAAACTGCAGCATTTTACCTGTCAGAATTGTGATTACAAAGGTTCTGATAGCATACATTTTTAAAAAGTGCATTGTTTAATTTTAACTTGTGGAACTCCCTTCTGGCTCCATGTTTTACAGACATTAAATCCAATGTCAGTCACTATCTACTGTACTCCTGATTACTCTTCTTTTGTTCTCACTTCTTAGTTTCTCATTCTTCCATATCCAGTAACCCCTTTTGTCTTAGTGGCTTTACTGCCTTTCTTGGGGTTAAAACTCTTTTAAAAATAAAATATTGAGAAAAATTTCAACCCTGTGGCCACCTTGTATTAGACACCTTAAAGTATGGTTTAAGTAGTGTAGATTTCACTTTCTACCTTTTGGTGACAGACACTTTAATAGAAGAAAAACTCTGAATTCAAAAACCCTGTAGAATGTAATAGGGAAAACCACTCCAATATTTTTCCAAAAAAGCATATGATTGCCTACATTATGAAAAAGGCAAAAGAAAAGCCCTTGAAATACTGTAATTTCTAACTCTTTGAATGGCATTACATAGTTACCTCCCTTCTAATTATGAAGAAATATTACACAGCACACAATGTGTTAGTATTATGATCATGGTTTGTATACTGCAGCTCAGAGTTGTCAGCTATAAAGTTTGGGTAGGTTGCAGTGTGTGTTAGGACTCCAAAAATACCATTTACAGAAGGTGTCAAGAGCTGATTTTGTATTTAAGCAACTTGAAATTTGTTGGTTCCTTTTCTTAGTTTTTGACCAAGTATTATTGAAAGGTTACTGCACTGCTGAACATTTGACCAGCTCTCACCAGATATGTCAGTTGTATGCCAATGTCTTGGTCTCTCTGAAAGAACTTTCCAGGTTCCAGGACTGATATCAGCCCATTTTTTTTCCTTCTGTCTCCCTCTTGTACGTTGTAGGAAAGATCTGTCAGTTTTTATAGGGACTTAAAAATTCACTGAATTTTTATAGGGACTTAAAAATTCACTGAATTTTTATAGGGACTTAAAAATTCACTGAATTTTTATAGGGACTTAAAAATTCACTGAATTTTTATAGACATTACTTGTTATTCACTGTATTTCTTTAAAATATTTTTTGGCAATCTTTAATCTATGTGGCCATAAAATGGTGTGTCAAAAGGATAGTTTTTCTCTTTGTGTCACTGTTATTGGATGTCGAGCCTGATCAATACTTTGATGGGTGACTGCTTGGAAATACCAGATGTTCTAAACTTGGATGTGCAGGTGGTTTAATGGACAGCGGCTTGAAATTGGAGAGTCAAGTTCCAATTTCAGTTGGGTTCATTATATTCACTTATGTGCAAATAACCTTAGGAAATGTGGGAATCCACCTTCTCCTACTCTCTATGGGTTAATTAGTAGGACTTGTATCAGTAAATCATCCACCCCCCCACTCCCCAATTCTTACAATCTAAAAATATTTTCTGGCTTTAAATAACCTGCAAAAGAACAAATCAATCATCTCAGAAACCAAATAAGTTATTAGTAACTATTTTGAATGAAATTTATATAATATTAACTGAAATTCATATAATGTATTTATATATAAGTATATCCTGGAACTTTTACAAGCATCAGTTGTAATATCAATTTAATTGACTAACATGATAACATCTAATATAGTGCCAGTATACAAAAGTTTTTTTTAATTATTATCACCCCCATGCAAGGCAGTAAAGCCACTAAAACATGAAGGGTTACTGGGTGTGGCAGAATTAGAAACAGAAACATTAATAAGGAGTGAAAACAAAATAGTAATCAGGAGGACAATAAATAGCGACTGACAATTGCAATTAAATTTCTGCAGGTTAAAGTTTGCTGCAAACCATGGAGCCAGAATGGGGTTCCACAAGTGAGAAGTGCAAGAAAAGAAACTGTTAGCAAAGATCTTAGGGTTACATCTAACTAGCTCAACTGTCAATTGATGAGATCTCTATGCTTGTCTAGTACTGCACTTAAATTAAAGAAAAGTCTAGGTACCATAGCAAAGAGCTCGCCTGAACAATTACCATGAGAGTATTTATAGAAAGGACACAGAGAAGCAACATTAGGGCGGTATTTTAACATCTTCATTCCAGTTCTTTGTAAATAAAACCAAAATTTCAACTTTAAAGATATGTAAATTATTTCAATGTATTTCACACATGTATTTCTTAAGACAAAATGAAAAATACATGAAATGTTGTGGAAGTAACTAACTTATGATATAAAAATAACATTCAAACAGTTATCTTATTTCTAGTAAAATTCTCACACAAGCTCATTTGTAAAAATGTTTTTTTTAATTCCCCAACAAGAATGTGTTTCTTTTATATAATTTTACACAATGTCATTAGTGTTATTCTATATGAAATGTTATTTATTTGTACCAATCTGAAAAAGAATTGTGGTTGTTAAAAAAAAGTTAAAAAAAAAAAATACGCAAAAAATTTCTATCTCCTCAATATTAACAACTGGGCAATTTAAACTTTCTGCAATAAAAGGTCATAAAATGTATTGGGATGTTCATGGGTATTTATTTGCCTCCCCACAAGGGGAGATATGTAAGGGTCTTGTTTGAATTGAGGTTCCATAAATGTACATGCAGGTAAGTAAATTTTGCCCTGTCCTTATGGCCTGTGTCCCAAAATTGTCAAGATGGCCTACTACCTTCTTTTATTCATGCAGTAAAGACGTGTTGGCTAGTTTGGTATAGTGTCAATTTGCTGATGTCAAGAGGATCAAATTTCAAATCTAAATTGTCTGTTTAACATACTACATCTATTAGAAAATATATTCAATTTAAGTACAGGAGTCATCACAGAAATTACTTTAAAGGGCCGCACATTTTTATGCTCTTTTCCTGTTACCCAGCAGTTGTTGTCAGATTGAAAGGGAAATTAGTCTTTGTGACACAGATGTCTATTACAATTTCATTCAAATTGTGTGGGTATGTACATTTGCATGGATGCATATATAGTTTAATTCGAGGACAGAACTAAAAAAATATTTCTACAAAATTTAAGAAGCCTTTAAAAGCTAATACTATTTAAGTTTTGAATAAAATCTTGTATATTATCTGATTTTTTAGGGTTTTAAAATAAATTTATTTTTCTCTTAGTCTCCAAATTTGATTTTATGGATCAACCCAGATAAAATATTTTTTGATCTGTCTTTGAATTCAACAAGAAAAGAGTATAAAAAAATGTTTCTTGTATGTTTGATTTGATTGGTTTGCATTTATATTTCAGTTGCCCGTACCTGCAGTCTCATCTTTATTGTGCTTGATGTCCTAAAGCCTCTACAACATAAAAAACTTATAGAATATGAATTGGAAGGTTTTGGTATTCGGCTCAACAAAAATCCACCCAACATTCACTTTCGACGAAAAGATAAAGGAGGCATTAACCTTACTTCTACAGTAAGTAAAAGTTTATTGTCAGAAAATGGGGATATTATTTCTTTGCACTTTCATTATTCATATAAAAGAAAGGCTGTTTATATTTCACTCTTAGAGTGAATCAAAACTGATTTCCTTTTTGAGGTCACTTCAGCATAAGGAGTTTCTATATAATTATTAGAAATAGAATAAAATAGTTCACTTATATGAATATCTACTCAGTTTCATGATTTCTTTTTTTTTTTTCCTTGGCAAATTTTATTTAAAGAATTAATTTTATTTAAAATTCTACTTATTTTTTTAAAGGACGAACTTTATTTAAAAAAAAATTTCCGAGGCAGTTTTTTTTTTTTTTTAAGGAACTAACTTTATTTCATTTTTCTTTTTTTCCCTTGCAGATTTTATTTAAAGAAATAATTTTATAAAAACATTTCAATCCTTTTCAATATTTTTAAAGGACAGATATTTAATTAAAAAAAATTCTCTCTGTATTTTGTGATATTTTTTATATATATATATATATATATATATATATAGCGTGTAACAGCAAAATTGTCCCCATAGAACAGACTTTGCAGAAGCTTAAAGAGTGGAAATGGAACCCCCACCCTCCACCAACCACCGTATTCACCTGATTTGGATCCTTCTGATGTTTGTTTGTTCCGTTCTCTACAGAACAATGGTAAAATGACCAAAAATTTGTCTCTGTACAGTTTGTCGAAAACTACCTCATTAACTTCCAAAAAAGTTTCTATGAAAATTACATCAAGAAACTTGTAGAACAATACGAAACGGTTGTTAAAAACAATGGAGATTATGTACTTGATTAATTTTTTTTTTTTTTTTTTTTTTGTGAGCATGTAAAATTTTGTTTTGAATTTTCTAATCAGGCTCTAACTTTTGAAATGACCTAATACATTTGAAATACCTCCAGCTTAGACTCCCCTCAGTATATTATTTGTCTTCCACTGATTCCTCTCATCAACTCTCTCCCCTCAGTAATGTCTAGCCAGATAATAAGAAATCAGAAGCATTGATAAATTTATTTGAAATACCTCCTGCTTTTGTTAGACTCCCCTCAGTATATTATTTGCATTCCACCAACTCCCCTCATCATCTCTCTCCCCTCAGTAATGTCTAGCCAGATAATAAGAAGTCAGATATATTAATGTTTGAGCAGAAACCTGCAAGAAACTTTTTTTACATACAAAATTTAGGAGGACTGGAAATTTACAAACATTTTTTTTCTGAAGATTATTCTGTCAGTAACATTTGTATTAATTCCTGTCCACTAATAGTTTTCTTTCTTGTTGGTTTTCAAAGCCTATCCTATGACAGAATTCAATTTCTTCTGTTGAGTCTTATTGCTATTGGTCAATCCCTATAAACACAGCAGGAACAATTTTTCACCAAGACTAGGATATCACAAGTTCTTATCTACACTTTTTAAACACTAAGCCAGTCTTTGAGGTTGTGGGTTACTCCATGTGGCTTTTGCCAAAAGTGCCCATTAGGAGGCATTCTTTAAGTCTATAAAAAGGCAAACATATCCCCTCAAGCTTCTATATGTAGTCCAACATAGATAAGGAATGCTGCGACTGAGATGCATTTGCTATCTTGATCCTCTGTTGACTGAACTCTTACATATACACATAGATCACACATGCTTGTTTCATGCACACAAGCACATTTTTATAGCTAGTTTTAATGTCTTTTCCTTTAATTTTACTTGTGTACACATGTATTTCCTTTTGTTAATAACATGCATTAAGTATCGTTCGTTTTGTGATCTTATTTTTACCCGAATTCACATGAGTCCACCAACATTTTTTGTGGGACAAATGTTCCAGGAGCCTATAAAAATATCTACAGACCCCACAATAAGGCTAATATTTTGCTTGCGTTTAAAAGCAAAACATAGATACTTATTAAATGATAAGTATTTTCCATTCTTCTTATATTCAATTTTTCTGTTCACATTGTAATTATACAATTCAAATGTTGGCACCTGTTTAAATTGTCCCAAAAGCTTTTAGCATTTGCAATCATCAGATGTTGTGCCACTTGCAAGGGTTTTGGTGCATTTCCTTTATAAATCCTACATGTCAATGGTTACATGTATATCTAGTTTTATATAATATGATGTAATGTTATTTGCAGTTTGAATGTTTATTTGTTTTTTTCTTTCTTTCCAGACTGCCCAGTCCGAGTTGGATCTGGATACTGTGAAAACAATTCTTGGAGAATACCGTATCCACAATGCGGATATTGTATTACGTTATGATGCCACTGCTGAAGACCTTATTGATGTTGTAGAAGGAAACAGAGTTTACATTCCTTGCATCTACATTCTAAACAAAATTGACCAGATTTCTGTTGAGGTAAAATTCTTGCGATGTACAGGGGTTGGGTATAATGGTTGGCCAAGTTTAAATTCACATTGCGCTAATTCTCTAGCTGAAAACATGAATTCATCTCCCCAATGCTATGGGTAAAATTATAGGGTAGACTGAGGTATTTAACCTTGGCAGTTTAACAGTAATGCATTAAGGAATCTGAGAGCTGAGTTCATGACATTCCCTTACATGCAAATACTCTTGGGAAAGGTATGAATCCATCTCTCATGCTATGGATAAATAGCAGGACAGACAGTGTCCTATAGCTTTGGGTGGCAACAACAACTCTGAATTCAAAACCTTTGTGGTCAGCAACTAAACTGGCTAAGTGGAACCCCAGCAGCACAAAAAATAAGTGCTATTAAAGGGCAGATGAATTCCTCAGAGTCAAGAGACATCAACCTCAACTATCGGTTAAATAACCTCACCACCCCAAATGTGGTGAGTATAGCTAAACCCAACAGGAGTGAGAAGGCCTTGGATTTAGAAAGTAACTAGAAGAGAGACAAATCTGAATTGAAAAACCACTCCATTATCATTATTCAGAATGACGACTATGATTGCTTCTTAACAAAATCATCTGGTGGTTCATTGATGTCTACAGTCAAGTCATAGACACTTCTTAATCAGAAAATTGACTTGGCTGATTGCAAAATGCAATTTTTAGTGTCCATTCATTAAATTATTTTAGTGTCCATTCATTAAATTATTTTAGTGTCCATTCATTAAATTATTTTAGTGTCCATTCATTAAATTATTTTAGTGTCCATTCATTAAATTATTTTAGTGTCCATTCATTAAATTATTTTAGTGTCCATTCATTAAATTATTTTAGTGTCCATTCATTAAATTATTCTCTTTATTTTTTTAAGAGGAAGTCATAGAAATACTTCTAGGAACAGCAGAACTGTAGCCAAAACAAATGTGTATAACAATATTTTTTTTCTCTAACATTATTATTATTAACAGTTGTAATTCTTATTAATTTAAATAAATTTTTTATTTCTTTTTAAAAAACTTTGATTTTTTTCCCCTTTATTTCATACATTCCCAGCAGTAAGTAGTCAACATAGGATACTCAATAAAGAATGAGGATTGTGTTTATAAGCTAGATTTGATCTCCTGTGGACTTGTTTGGCTCTTACAGTTTAATTAAAAGGAACAAGAGTTGAAATGTCACTGAGAACTCGACATTTACTTATGAAAAATTCAGAAACTGTACTTTTGTTTTCATTCATGCCTGACTACAAATTATTTTCTTTGTTGTAAATAATTTCTTCTTCTTATCTTATAGTTAATAAATGTTTAATAAAAGAACTATTTCCTTTTTGGTATCGTAAATAATTTCTTCTTTAGCATGTACTGTAATATGCTTTTATAATTCTTCTTAATTTTGTTGATTTCTGTTGATAATATTACTGTATGTTGTAAATAAAGGCACTAGAAATAAAATTCATTTACTATTTCATCCAGTGCAATCAATCATTTACTGTATATTGCAATGCATCTTGTCAAAATATTTTAAGAATATGTAACAGAGAATTACAAGATGAAATATTACCAGTAAATGTAAAGAATATAAAATAAATGAACGAAGACAATAAGAAACACAACTCAAACACACACACGTGTGTGTGTGTGTGTGTGTTTTTATATATATATATATATATATATATATAATCTCAGACAAAATGGGTGTTATTGGAAAAGCAATGCCTCAGTGACTTAAACACGTGCGAATGGAGATCAACACAAATTGGAGAAGTGGGGGGGGGCATTGTTAATTTTTCATTTATGTAAGGGACTTGTAGATTTTAAGAGGCACACCTGGTGAATGACATTCTTCTGTTCATGTAGCAACAGAAAAAAGTATCCGGGTTATGGGAGACAGACTAAAGGAGCTTACCTGTATTGTTAAGGTTAGCTGAAGGTACCACCAGAATATATGCCTACCAGGTAGATTAGAGTCACAGAAAATGCATGATTTTTAACCACTTCAAAAAATTTACTTGTGTATAATGCCCCTTCAGTTTACATAAAAGACTGATCAAAAAAACTAGCACTATTCACAGGTATATACTGTAAAATATCTTGAACATTGATGTATTCCATCATTGTATTCCACTGTTTGATTAGAAAGGTAATGGCTTTTGCCCCTGTTGAATAGATTTAGATACCGTACTTTTGTTTGGGTTCATGCCTGACTGTGGTAGCTTCTTTAATTAGCCAAAGCTACCATGAACATGTAGGCCTACCAGGTAGGTTATGCTCACCAAATATGTATAAATTTTAATCCCCTGAGGAAAAAAAATTACATGTGTAGTGCAACCGGTCACTGAAATTGCATGATTTTTAACCTCTTCCAAAAAATTCCTGTGTATAGTGTCCCTCCCCTGTTGTTTGTGTAAAATCTGATTATAAAAACTTGCAGTATACACAAGTGTATACAGTAGTATATTTTCAGTTCCTTTATTCTTTCCTGATTGCCAACTGCTGCAGCTACAATTCCCTTTCGTCATTTTTTATCATATCAGGTTTTATTGTCTTAATTTCATTGTTCATGCCAACAGGTTATGCCATCTCCAATCTGTGAGATTAATCAGAGTTAATTCCATATTTGAAAAGAGATCTTGTGTACAATCCAACCTCTTTAATACAATACGGTTTTGAGTCGGGCACCATTTCTTTGTTGAATGGCTACATCAGCATCACAACTTTTCAATGTAGCTGACAGCAGCCGAGTGTTTTGGTGATATAGTTTTTGCTCATTTTTTCTATGTAGCTACATTCTAAAAAAAGTAATGGAATTTTTTATTTATTAATCCGACAAGCGTTACTTTTAGTGGAGACTGTTTATTTTATTAAGCAGTATCTTTATTCATTTTCATCTACCTTATTGAAGGAAAATTAATCTGCCAGAGAGTGCATATTTTTCTTTAATAAGATTTCTTGAATATTCAGGCCAGTAGATGGAAATAAATATAATGTTTAATAATAAATATAGCTACATATTTACCCATAGTAAGTGTATTATTACTATTTTTTTTTCTTTTAAGACTTCATATTGTATTTAACAATAAAAACCTTGTTTTCAAGTGTTAATGATTGTTTTTCTTTTTCCTTCTTGAAGCTTTGTTCTACCTTTGAAAGCACATCAGTATATAAGTGAAATGAGTCTCCAGCATTGTGTCCGATTCTGTCATCACTAGCATTGCACTGTGTCCGATTCTGTCATCACCTGTTTTTCTTCTTGTCTTCAGGAACTGGATATTATCTACAGGATCCCCCATTGTGTTCCTTTGTCGGCTCACCACAAATGGAACTTTGATGACCTCTTAGAAAAACTTTGGGATTATTTGCAATTGGTGAGGATGTAAGTATTTTACTTTATGTATATATATATATATATATATATATATATATATATACAGTGTAACCCGGATATAAGAGAGTTGTCGGGACCAGAGAAGAAGTCTCTTATATCCAGGTTTGGTCTAATTTATATACATTAACACAGGCTCTAATTTGGGACCAGAGAAAATCTCTCTTATATCCGGGTTTCTCTTATATCCGGGTTACACTGTAGTTATTTTCTAAGCGTAGCTTAGATGTGGCACAAGGCCGAAAGTATGGAACACCTAGTGAGGATGAAACTCACTTTTCAGTCATAACTGATCTAGCGAGACAAGCTTGCTAACCATTACACCACGCCGAGGTGCCCACTTATATATATATATATATATATATATATATATATATATATATATATATAAGAGTTGGGTGTGTGCCACCTGCAATGTGTCATAGCCTGAATCATTGACAGATATTTATTTACTCAACAATCCTCTTTCAAAATGCTTATCAGTATTTGCTAAACTGAGCATAACATGGAAATAGGAAGATTGTGTTGCTCCAGTGACGGGGAGTGGGAGAGATATCCAACCATCAGAATCGCCAAGCAGTATGATAAATATTCCTACTTCTGTCCCATAATATTTGGTACATTTAGCTTATAAAATGTCTATGCAGTTGTAACAACTATTAGAGGACAGTGATAGTGACATTTATTAATACTAGAAAGACTCGTGAAAATTTCAGTTTGAATTTTCTGATAAATCTTAATTCTTAAGTTAATGATTGAGTGAAGCTCATGGTGAGTTCTACAATGACAAAATATCTGTAGAAATACCCTCTGTCACATCATTAAATATTTGAGCTTAACAACTTTAACAAAATATTGCAATAACAATCATAAATACGAATGCTGGTCATTATTTTAAGAAGTAAGGGGGTACAAATGAAAAGATTTTAAACTGAGAACTTTTTCCATTTCATTGAAACGGATGTTAAACAGATGCGTGTTATCACCTCTTCTATCTTCCCTTTCTTTTTCTCACTCAAGCTAAGTGGAGTAAACAGAATAATCCATTATATATGAGGTATTGGCAGGGTGTAATGGCTGTGCTAACTAAGGGAGGGACAAGCAGAATTGTAATAAGATAGTACAATATGCAATATACAGTGTGTCTAGTCAGGGTCATTCTTCTGTAAGGGTGTGCCCCATGATGCTTATCATGGAGCTCATCCCTTGTCAGGTTGGTTTCCAATTCACACACTGGTTGCTACCTAAGTTTTGAGAGTACAGTCTACCCTGCTATTTAATGAAAATGGATTTGTGCCTTTCCCAAGTGAACAGAATAGAGAATTGACTGCAATTTTAATTTCTTTTACACTTTTCACTTTCAACACCATTAACTCTATTATTGCTGCTAAGGTGTTTGGTTTAATGGAAACATCTTGTTTTTTGGTTTGAATAGTTCAAGCTGTTTTTTGGGGTTTTTTTATTTGGTGTAGATAAGTGGTAAATCTTCAAGTTTTTTACCCTAGTGACTGAAAAAAACCTGTATGTTGGGTTTACTTGGGTGTTTTCCTCATCCACCTTGCTGTTGCAATTTTTTTTCTTTTTAAATAATTTCATCTGTTTAACTCCCCCAAATTTTATATATTGGATTTAGCATTTCATTTCTTTTATCACTTTAAGTGTTCTGGTTTGCTTGAGTGTCCCTCCCATTGAGCATGTAACTTCTTTTTTTATCTAATTTCACATGATAGTTTAACCCAGCGTTTCTCAACTGCTATGCTCAGGCACACTAATTTGCCCTGAAAGGTAGCCAAGTGTGGTCTAAGTTAACAGAAGAGCAATTTATGAATTATTTTTATATTTAAAAAAAAAAAATCTTTATTTTTAAAAAGCTAGAGATTTCAAGCACATGGCTTCCATGTTGAAGTCTTTGTCGTTTGATATTTTAAACTGGATATTAAATTCCTTAATCTTTAAAAAGGAGCAGACAATCCTTTCCCTTTTTCCTTCCTCAAGGGATATAAATCAGACATTATTGGTCTCTAAAAAAAAAAAAATAGCAGATTCTTCATAAAACACTTTAAATGATAATTGTACTGCTAATCCTTTTTGGGAATGCTAATGCGAGTGTACTTATCTCATATAAAGCCAAACTTTCCAAAAATTGCCAAAGCACACGAAACACAGGTTTCGCACAAGCATACTTAAATATATAATGTAATGTCTTAAAAATAAATGTGTATTTCAAGATACATCTTTCCTATTTACAAATTTCATGACTAATTTTTCCTTATTAAAATTTAAAGTGCACCCCAGAGTTTTAGTTATTCTACAAGTTCTCTGTTGTATAGCCCACTCATGTTGTGGGGTCTTGGGCATCAGGGTCAATTCATTAATGATAAAGTTGCATTCTTTCACGGCCGATGATTGCTAGTTGTTTTGAGTCCAGAGATAAAAGAACTTCAACACAGGGAATTTTAAACTTAACTAGTTTATTAACGTCGACATATACATCTTCAAACTAGTCAGTGGGGTTGCTCTCCCTCTACTGGGAAGCTGTTTCAGACATGAAAGTAAACATGTCTATATTGTTTGACAGTTAAGACTTGACTCCCTGAAATCCTTTCTCTATCTAGTGTTCTGACACTTGCTCAGCCAATCAAAATGGACTTCCTTGTTTTGTCTCCCATCTGACCTCAAAGGTCAACCCCAGAAAATCCAAACAGAGATACCATTCCCCCTAAAAAATAAGTCTGCTAAACTATTGTTTATCACCTGAAGTAAAAAAAAGGTTGAGAAACACTGGTTTAACTACTTTGTGTTTTAGTCTCTATGGCAACTCTTGAGTTTGACCAATCAGCACAGATAGTTACTTGGTAAGGCTATAGCATTTTGGAGCTGGATGCCATTTATTAGGGGACGTTGAAAAGTTGTTGATCAAATTCACTTCCCAAAATCTAACCAAATATCATAATTTTTTTCTTTCCTTGTTTCAGTCTAGGGCTTTTCAGCACCCCCTATCTATAAAGCCATTCAGGAATGACTTGGTATGGGATACACTTCATAACACAAACATTCTTCTTTACAACAGTGCTACTCAAAGTGATATGCGTACTAGCACCAGTACATGAGCTGTTGTCTGCTGGTATGCAGAGAGTTTCTAGGAAAAAAAGAACCAGTAGTCACATTCCTGCCATGGGAGACTGCCTGGATATCTGATTTTTTTAATTTGTTTTTTAAACATTTCCATTTTGATTTCATATTTACAATGGTTACATTTTTCAATTAGTCACTCGTATTAAAAGTCATTGCTATATACAACTAATAAATGTGATATAATGAACATTGAACTGAAAATGTTATGTATGAAAACCCCATCATGAAGATATTTTTTTTTTTGCTTTAACATACTTATTCATATAACTAAAATATATAATTTTTTAACCTACTTTATACATTATAATTTTTAATTTTATTACTTATATATAACTGTTTATATATGCATCAGAAGGTATTGCTAATTGATTTAATACTTCTTATAATTTATATTGCAATAGTGTTTACAAAATCAATATACAATATAAAACAGAGACGTTGCAACTATATTCATTATATTTTTCTGATATAAATGAATAATACCTATGAATGTTCAAATATTTTCTTGGATCATTATCATGTAATTATATAGCACAAATATGGTACTGCGTCCCTGGCACATTGCGAAGACTTGATAAGTTAATAATGACTGGACTTAGAACAAATAAGTCATGTTCTCAGGTTTAGTACAGATAGCCTCAAAATGATCCTGAAATACAATGTGCGATGGATAAATTGTTGCCATTTTATATTTTTAATTTCACACATGCAAGTTGTTTGTTTTTGATTTTGTCTATTGCACAGTATAGTAGGGTCAGTTGGGCACCGTCTGTGAGAAAAAGAGCACCATGATGCAATTCACTCCATGAGAAATTTGGTAATGGCATGCTGTACTGCTTGGCATTCATGCTGGAAGCTCTAATATGAACATTTCAGAATGTTTGGGTGTCAATCTGAGAAGAGTGCAGAGGATTTGGAAAGAGTTGGATGAGTCTAATGGTGATTATGATGGTGTTTGGTGTGATCGTTGGTGATGTTGACATTATGTCTCCATTTATCTTCTCACATGGCCTCAGACTCAACATGGAGGCCTACCTCAAGTGCCTTGAGGAGATATTGCTGCCCTGGATCAAGAGGGTGGCTGCTGGAAGTCCCTATGTCTGGTAACAGGACTCTGCATCATGCGATACAAGCAAGAGAGCCCAGTCATGGCTGTCAGACAATTTCTGCAACCATATCACCGCTTATATCTGGCCAGCTAACTCCCCAGACTGCAACCTCCTTGATTATTATGTGTGAGGGGTAGTAGAGTAAGAGACCATGAAAACTCCTTGTAACACCAAAGATGAAGGCAAGGATTATGGAAGCATTCACCAACTTAAACAAAGAGACCATTCAAAAGTGTTGCAGGAGATTCCAAAGTTGTCTGAGGGCCGTGGTTGAAACCAGTGGTGATTTTTATTGAAAAAATTTACTGTTTAGTATTTCATATTTTTGTGTAATTTTGCTAAATATTAAATATATCTGTTAAAATGAGATGTCAGTGTTATTTTCATTTTTGTGTAATTTAGACGTTAATTTATCCATTGCACCCTGTAGGATATATCTCCAAAAAGAAAGTAAGAAAGCACCCCCCCCAAACATCCCCTCACTGGATTAGAAAGCTATGCTCACTGGTCCCTTTGCACATTGGCAAAAAAAACCTAAATAAACAAACTCAGATACTCTACACCTAAATGTACCTAAATTGTATTTTTTCCAATATTCTCCCTCCTCTTCATTTTCTTTAACTTTTGAAAAAATACCCAATGCAAATATGAATCTTTCCCTGACTGGTTAGGTAGATTTACTCACATTTAGACCCACCTCTCCTCACCTACCCTTTTTTCTTTTCCTTTTTCCTTTCTTTTTCCTTATCTTAATTGTAATATGGTTTTCTTTTCTTCTTTAGTTATACAAAACCCAAAGGACAGCTGCCTGATTACAGCGCTCCAGTTGTGTTGAAGGATGGTAAAAGTAGTGTTGAAGACTTTTGCAATAAAATCCATCGGAACATTATGCGGGAATTCAAGCAGTAAGTATTTCCAAGTTTCTCTTTGAATTTTTGGATTTGTCATTATTCACACTATTTATATTCAGACTGGTGTCCTCACAATACAATAACCTGGATAGCTGTGGTTCTCAACGTTTTTGTTTTTGCTCAATGCACTCTTTTCACCAGAAGTCAGAATATCATGCTCCCACTTTCAAAGATTGTCTGACCCAAAAGGTGCATTTCAAATAATATGTACATATTATTGAACACCTTCTTTCTCTTCTATATTAGTACATATACATTTACATGGATTATTTTTATAGAGGAGTTTTACAAATTTAATAGCAATGTTGAGGTCTTTTTAAACTTGAATACATGTACAGTAAGTTTTTACTTCATAACTAATTATTAAATAAACTGAAGCATACTTCAATAAAACAGAATATTCAATAGAATGCCTGGGTATTGTAATTCAATAAACAAAAAGTTTGATAAAAATTTAACGTATTTGAATCAATTTTACTCTGAAGATTACTGTCAAGGGCTTCAAATTCTGTAAATAAAAAAAAAAAAAAAAGTAAAACACCCCCCACTCCTCTGTGAAGCCATGATTCCCTTCCAAAAGTGGGGACCCCTCCTTATTGAGAACCTAGTGGATTAAAGTGTTCATTCATGAATTTGGGTGAGTTCAATCCCTGGGCTAGGTAGTACTGGCAGACTCGGCAATAACTGAGCCATACAAAAATAATAATGGGATGTGATATCCATAGACATGGACTGCAGGACAAGGTCTCTAGTCCCCCCACCTCCCCCATCCCTGATTGAATAAAGGAAGATTTACTGGATCAACAGACACCTGAAGATGACCAAAATGTACAATAGCTGAAACATTGTGATAATAACAACAAAGATGACAATATACATTTGAATACAAATAATATAAACATTTCAAATTTGTTTATAATTTCATTTTGTTAAATTTTTTGCTATATTCCTTTTTTTCTTTTTTTATCATACCAGCAAATGGCTTTTGATATCTAATGGAGTGAAGATATCTTTCTGTTTTCAGAAAACTTTGAGGAAGAGATTTTTTTTTAATGAATTATAAATAGAAAAATAAGTGTCTATAATATGGTGACATTAGTTTCTTGTTTTTGTTGCAAATATGACATTCCATACAAGATGCTATCAAATTGTTTGTATTCGGCAAATAAAAATAAAATTGTTGTATGTTCATGGCTATTTATAAAATTTTTCATTTTGCGCCTATGCATCTGGCCTCATATTCTAGACACTTTTTTTTTTTTTTTTTTTTTTTTTTTCAGTGCTTTGGTATGGGGCACATCAGTAAAGCATCAACCCCAGAAAGTTGGCAAAGACCATATCCTCTGTGATGAAGATGTTGTTCAGATAGTCAAGAAGTGAGATTTGTCAACCCAAATATTTGATACAAATTGTAAGGAACCATTCCATTTCATTTGGTTTATTGAATATCACAGTTAGAACCAATTCAGCTGAAAAGTACTCATTTCCTTAAAAGATTCTTATAAAAATTATAGCAAAAGCTTTTAGTTAAAGGTACTATCATTATTATTATTACTAGAAATATCTGAAAATTTCAGTGTTTTTCTATAATTTTCTGATGAATCTTAATTCTTAAGTTAATGATTGAATAAGCTCATGAGTTCTACAACAATAAAATATCTGTAGAAATTCCCATTTTGCATCGTTAAATAGTAACGCTCAACAACTTTAACAAAATATTGCAATAACATTCATAGATATAAATGCTGGTTGTTATTCTAAGAAGTAAAGGGGTACAAATGAAAATATTTGCAATTGGTACCTCTTTTCTATTTCAGTGAAACAGCTATTAAACACTTTTATCTTCCCTTTTTTCTTTCCTCACTGAAACCAAGTAGCATTTCTGATATGTCTTTTCACACAATATCAAAACAGTCCAATATTTATGAGGTATTGAGAAAAGATGTTAAACACTTTTATGTATCGTTTCTTTAATTTTCTCACTGAAACCAAGTAGTGTCTATGATGTGACCTTTTGTGTGTTACATGAGTAAAAAAATTTCTAATTTAATAACTCTACATGCTTAGTCAGTGATTGGGGTAGGCAGCAGTCGGCTGGCTTTCACTTCCTTTTTCCAATCATCCCTGTCAAGTGGGCTAATGTGGACAAGGCCACACTCCAGCACGTTCCTCCCTATGCAGTCCTTCTACATCTTCCTAGGGGTACCTCGACCTCTTTGACCAGGAACCCTGAACTCTGAGACAGCCCCAATGCATGATGAAACTCATTGGATGTAACTAAACCATCAAAAATGACTTGTGTGCAGCACTGATGTTATATCCTCAGTAGCAAGCCTTGTTAACAACTCGGATGAGGTGATTTCATACTGAGGTTTGGTGCTGCAGATCCAGCAAATCGTGTGGTCGTACCAGAGCTGCTGCAAGGCCGTTGTATTTGGTGCCCAAGTGTCACTGCTGTGGATCAGTGCAGATTATACACATGCAGAGAACAATTTAAAAGCTGAAATTTTGCAGTTTAATAATTTGATAATGCGTTAATACTTTAATTTTTTTTTTTTTTTTTTAATGCACACTTCAATATACGTTCCTCAATGTAGGAAAGATATTTAAAATAAACAAAATATCAAGTTTGGACATGAAAATGATGTCACATTGAGTGCCTTGAAATTGTTTCCAGAAAAAGTTGGAACCCTGGAATTAACCAGATACTGTTAAAGAGACATGTTTTGTATATATGCAAAACACAATTCTTGAAATGAATGTAGCACATTCGAAAGTACATGGTGGGATGGCGGTATGAAATATAGATAAATATGAACTTTGGTAAATTTACCAATTATATAAAACAAGTAATTGGGAATTTTGAAAAAAAATCAATCAAAAAAATTGGATAGACAGAAGTTACCAAAATTATGTTTGGAAGATTTCTTGCTGTTTTATATATATATATATATATATATATATATATAATTTTACCCAGTGCATTTCCTCTGGACATTATCAAGACAAAAATGTTAGTTTTTTAAATTTAAAAAACTTTTATAAATATTCATCAGGTTAACTGCCATAATTTCAGTTAGCCTCATAAATATTTATAAATTTTTCTTAGTTAAAAATTTTGAAAAATGAACATTTTTACTTTGTTTATAAATCAGTCAGTTAAGTGCCGTACATGAGATATGTTTGTGCGATCATGTTTCTTTTGATACATGACTGACTAGGCAAAATGCTTTCATGCAGTAGGCTCCTGTTTCTTTCTGCAGTAAACTGGTTACCAACACGTGCGATGAGACCCAGTCTGTCCTGCTAGTCAACTCAACTTGTCAGTGGGAGAGATGGATTCATTCCCTTTCCCGTTCATTCTCTTTCCTGTTCATTCCTTTGTGCATAAGTGAATGTAATGATCCCAACTGGGATTCGAACTCGGCATTCCAATTTCTCATTCCAATCCATTACCATTACACCACCTGCACATTCAGGTTATTAAATACTTATTGCAAAATAAAATCCTTCCATCTGCCTTGATAAAGTCCATCATAGGACGAAACACATCAACTAAGTTTTCCTTTTGTCTTTTTACATATATATATATATAATTGCTAAAAATTAGCATACCAAGATGAAAACAGTTTTATCATCAAAATCTTATTAAGAGGAAGGATCAAAGTATTTTTCGAATATTTAATTCAATTTTTTACTCCATTTTAGAACATTCGAAATTGTGATTAAAAATCTTGTTTTTCTTGCGTTACTATATTTTAGCATAGCCAATTCTGGCATCTTTTTTTTTTTGCGATGACACACATTAATTTGAAAATTCTTGCAAAAATCAAATAATTGTTGGATTTTAATTAAATTTTCATGTCTTATTGACAAATTATTTTAGAAATGGTTTTATTAGAAAATTTTGGTAAAAATATTTTTTTTTATACATGTATTTCACCCCCACCTTACATAATTTTATGAAAACTTGAAAAAATCAACGAGATAATTTTTAGTGACTATATTAGTTATCATGCTGAATTTTATAGATGTGGTTGCTTATACAAAACACTATCAGAAAATAAGAATGACACCTATAGTAAATTTTGAGCCAAAATTCTCTAAAATTCAGTAAAATATTAGGTTACAGAGAATATTTTCTTAAATGTTTAAGATTACTGACTACTTAAAAGGTGTTCGCATTATATTCCTCAATTATTTTTTAAGGCTAAATCCCCTGTAGAACAACATTGGATAATTAATATCTAGATATAGATAATCTGTCCATCACAGAGCTGTTAAAAAGCTGTCATCATAAACAAACAAGCTACTGTCGTGTTGAAAAATGCTTTTCTTTGAAATTTTAAACTTAAAAAAAATAATAGTTGTTTCAAATCAGATTAATTATGCTTTAAATCAGCTAATATTCCTCACTTAAAGTTTCAGAAAAGTATATTTTATTTGTGGAAGATTTTTTAATAAAAAGATTTACATTTTCATAATAGTTTGCTAAAACTGGTGCTAAACTCCAAAATTTTAGAAATTTCAAAACAAGAACTCCTTTGAATCAATTTAAATTAGTTTTGAAATGCAGTATAGAATTTTGTTTCCTGTTTAAACCTAATCTTGCAGCTTGAATTTAAAACTAAAATAAGTGTCAAGAAAAATTTTCATTGTTAAAAATTAATTTTAAACATTAGGTATCACTTTTTTGTAGATACATATATATATATATATATATATATATATATATATATATATATATATGTGTGTGTGTATATATTATATTATTTATTTATATATATATATGATAAAAAAACAATAAAATCCAAAATTACCTCATATAAGGAATAACCTATTTTGGCAGATGAAGATATTGGTCATCTGTCTTATCAGCCCCAGTGTGGGCTGAGTTTTTGTCTATACAGTAGAGTTTCAGTAAATAGAATTTAACTGTGAAAGCTAAAAGTTTCAGTCTGATAAAAGGCATGAGAATGGGGTCAGGAGAGGGTGGAAGGTATTTGTCTTAAAGGGGGAGAAGTTTTATAAAATTAAACCCAAATATTAACCTTATGACATTAATTTGGGGTTATATGAAGAATGAAATATTAATTTAAAATTAAAAGAGGAATAAAAAAAAAAGTGGGGTTTGAAAATAAATTTAAAATATATCGATAAAAGGAAGTAAGGGATTAATGAAAAGAGTTTGGTAGATATTAAAATAGGGGAAAGTTTAAATTATAATTACCATAATTTCTTGAAAATAATACGCACCCCAACAAATGATCCAAAAATTAAATATATCCATCCCTATGTATAATATGCATCTATATATTTTGTCAAAAAAAATAATTACAAAGGCATTTTGTCAACCTTGACATTATGAATAGAATCTAAACTAAGCAGCTAAAATAATGTTGAAAATTACCATGCAGTTTTCCCGACGAATATAACATTTTATTTTACCACCAAAATGCGATTCCATCAGTGAGGATGTTATAAAGAGAGGTTTCAAGAAGTATTGTCCCACAACAGCCGTGGATGGCTCTGAAGATGACATCCTTTGGCAAGAGAATGAAGAGTGTGAAGATAATTTTGAACAGGACGAAGATAATATCATGAATGATAATTTGTTTAATGACAATTTAGATATTGATTCTATAATAGAAATTGGTGATGATGAGGATGAAAATTTAAATTTCAATAAATTGTTAACTTGATATCCTCTTTTCTTCACAAGTGGCCTTATAGATTTTTTTTTTTTTATTTTTTCGCCAAATAAAAAATGCGGTTACTGATAAACATAAATTTATTGACAAAACAATTTTACAATTATTATTGTTGGATTTAAAACAAAAATTAGGATAATATCTTATTTTAGGACAACAAGTATGTATTTATTATTATGAATCAATAACAAAAGAATATTTTTGTTTAAATCTACTTATAATATGCACCACCTACTATCACTTGTAATTTACAGAAAAAAAAAAGGTTTATTTTTGAGAAATTATGATATATAGTATAGAGGGGGCGGGGGATATAAAATTAGGATTAGTTATACTTTTGACATTTGAAGACTTAGAGGAGAGTGAATATTATGGAAATATGGTAGCTAATTAAACCTATGTTATGGATATATATATATATATATATATATATATATATATAAAAATTTAAAAAAATGTTAAAATAGCCATTTTGTTTCATTTATGGTGTCTTTCAAGTGATGGTGTTGAATGTCAAAGATTTTTTTTTCTCTCACCATCACTTGAGAAGACACCAGAAGTGTTGAAACAAAATGGCTTTTTTTGTAGTGATGTTATAACATGTTTGTTATAATTTTTGAATAAATAATATTTGCTCTACTCTTATATTGAGCACTCTTTTAAGAATAGTGTTTTTGGTTATTGGAATTTTATTCAGTCTACACCAATCCTATACTTTTGTGTGTGTGTGTGGGGAGATATATATATATATATATATATATATATATATATATATATATATATATATATATAAAATAAAATGATGTAAATTTGATGTCTTTTTCTTTTCCAGATTGTGATAGCTTGTGGCCTGCTCATGACTGTTGAATCATTGCGGACTCTTTACCAAGATTTTCTCAACTTCTGCCCAGTTACCACCACCTCCCTTCCCTATGACACCAGACCTCATCCTCTTCCATCACATCAGCTTTTGATTTATCTGACGATAAATCTCTTTTCCAATAAACACACTAGACAATAAAAGCAAATGCCAAAAAGAATTGGAAAGACTTGAACCAAAAATCTTAGCAAGAATAAAAGGATGAGCACAAAAGCTACTCTTGATATCAGGATGCGTAAAAGTGAACTGTTAATAATTTTATTTGTTGCAGAAGTTTTTAATAAAATATACCTACACTTGTTGGTTGTCATGTCTTTAAGATAAGCTCACTGGAGTAATGGATAGCGGCTTGGATTGAGGAATCGGAGAGCCGGGTTCAAATTCCACT